AGGTATGGTTGGAAGGAAACTAGATGTGATATATTGAAACATTTGTTTGTTCACAGTTCTTTGAAGATCTCTTCAGAGGGTGTAGTTTCACATATGTGAGTGTCCCACCAGTATTGTGACATTCTGGAAAGGGGTGATTTCAGGGTGGAGACAAGGAGCACAGACCCAGCTGTGTGCCTGGAGCACCATGGTGGGCAGCGTGCGCTGTTGCTGTTCATCCGCATTTGTCAGCAGAATCTAGTGATGCTGGCTTTGGAAATCAGTTAAAAATGCCCTGTTGTATCCAGGAAAGAGCAAAAGAGTAATCTGTTGGATGCTCTCCTCTGGCCCTTCAAGATTGTTGATAGTTACCTACAGTAAACATGGGGGAGAGGGAGAGTAGTCAGCCCCACCACAACATAAAATAAGGTATCCCATCCTTACGGTAATGCAGGCTTCAGAGATGACAAAGAAAGCTTTATGTAGAGTTATTCGTATCAGTGAAATTCTTCTGTTCCCTGGAGTCCCTAATGTCATATGTTCCCAGTTGTGGATTCTGATTTTTGAAGGCATAAGGGGTCCAAAGTGGTGAACATGGAGGTTTTCAATTTATTCACAGTGATAGGGTTTGGAAAAGTCGGATGAAAATCATTCATTTATCCTTAATGGAAATGTTTAGGCCTAACTAAAATGTCATATATCTTTACTTTTTGCCTAGAACTTTATAAACACAGATCACATGCTGACCAGAAACTCTGGGAATTGTAAATGTTTAATAAACTCATGAAAATAAACTAAGGACACTTTTCATGACAAAATGTTTCATGACTTAGTTTTCATGGGAGAAAAAATAACAGGGATTTTTATGGAGGAAAATAGTACTGGGAACTCAGTTGGAATCCCAGTTTACTATACGACCTTGTATAAGATAACCTAATTTTTCTGGCTTTCATTCTTTCCCCTGGGAAATAGGAAATACTAATAACACCTGTCTCAGAATTGCCCCAAGGAGTCTATAAGTTACTGTATGTAGAGTGCTTAGCACAGCTGCTGGAATGTAGCAAGCACACTATAATTAGTAGTTATGGAGTATTATTGTGTTTTAAGTGCAATGAAAGATGGTATGGCAGGGATTAGGGCCCAGTTATTAACATCTGATGAGTTACACTCTCCTCTCTTAAAGGAGGATATTTCTACCTTCATCGGTAGGATTACATGAAGACTAAATGGAATTAATTTATATAAAGCCCATAGGACAATGATGGTATGTATATAAGCATCTAGTTAATGTTAGTCCTTGTAGTTCAGAAATTTTGTTTATTTCACAACAGCCCTGTAATATATATGCGCGTATATATATTTTAAGCAACTGAGGAGGAGACAAGTTCAGAGATGTTAGGTAACCTGCTCAAGGTTGCACTGTTAGAATTTGAACTCAGATCTTATTTTCAAATAATCAGGAATAACGAACCTATAGAACCCTGTTGCTTTCTTGTATCTCTTTGCTTTTGAAGATGTTCTTAATGTTTTGTGATTAATGTAAATACTTAAGTCTATTTTGTGAAACTTTATCATGTTCTTCCTCATAAAAGTCCTAATGAATGCCTGACGTTTTCTGTAACTTAAGTTTAGCATTTATTCCCAGTGTGGAAGATTTCAATTCTTTATTTTGCAGCTGGAAAAATGAGTATGTCCTAAGACATCTTTGAGAGCTTTACATACCCAAGAAGCGAATTGAACATGTAGGGTGTGTGTGCAGTTTGCTTAAAGTATGTCATATTATTCTTTCAGGAAAAGTTGATTCTAAATTTCTTTTTTCTAGCTGTGGAGTAGTAAGCTTTGTGTAGTCTGGTAAAACTACCAGTTGGCCTTGGGTGAAGAACAGTTGGAGGGGAATATATAAAAATGACAATGATAGCCATATATAGGGTGTTTTGTTTTTCTCAATTCTCAATTCTCTTTACTGCTATTTTATAATTGAAGATAAATGTATTAGAAATAATTCCTGGAATTAGAAAGTACAGAGCAGACTACTTTATGCTGTTTCTCTTGATAGAGTTTAAGCAGTCTTTTGTTTTTTTCTTTTCCAGTTTTATTGAGATAGAACTAACACAGTGAAAAGAGTCCTTTCTATGTGTGATTTCCTCTTCAGGTACACAGTAAAATCAAGTATTATGTATAAATTGTGTATGTTTACATATCATTTCTTTGACCCCCTTGTCAAAATTGAAGACATGCCCTCTTTAGCTTGGGCTCATTAGAAATATTCTGCTGCATTAATACAAGGTTTTATGGTATTTACATCTAGAAAGAGAAAATACAAGCATCTGGTAGAAGCTTTTTCCTCCTTCACCATTGTCCTTTAAATACTGCATGTCCTCCTGTAGTGTTTACTCTCAGTAAACACCATACAGAGCCTTCTGCCATGGGGGCCTGCTGGCAGCTTAATTGCAGAAGGTCTGGAAGGTCCATGCAGTGCCCTGTGGTGTGGAGGGTTAATGCTTCACAAACACGCTTCTCCACTTTCCTCTTGGGAGCCATGGGATGTATAAGGGACAAAGGGGCTTCAGAATATCCCCTTCATATCTGCATTCCTGGAGCAATCAAACTGAACTTGGTATTGTAGCCAGTGCTGCTTCTTTATTTTCTGTTTTTAACTTTTATTATTTTATTTTTCTTTTCCTTCATGTTTACTCTAATTTATTCTTGGGTTTATTACGAGAAAGATCAGAGGCCTTGAATTAACCAGGTAAGACAGACCTGGTTTTGGCACATGATTTAGCCAATGCCAAACTGTGTCTTATTTGTTGCTTCTTTGAGGAGAAATGTGAGAGAGTAATTCTTTATGGATTCTCAGAACCCATTGGGGCTGCTTAAGCAGTGGCTTACAGGCCTTTCATGAGGCCATTTAGCACTGATACACATATCTGACTCCATTTTTTTTTCTCTTGCAGATTTTAATATTAGTCCAAATATAAGTTGAAGTTTCTTCCTTAACTTATTCCTCATGATAAATGGTAGAGAACGTCCTTAAAGATCTGGTTCTTCCATTGATATTTAATTTGAATTACTTTTTGTTGTTGTTATGCATTTTTTTAATGGACTTTATTTTTCAGAGCAGTATTAGGTTCATAGCAAAACCGAATGGGAAGCATACAGAATGAGTTCCCATTTGGCTCGTGCATAATCTGTCCTATTACCAACATCCTGCACCAGAGTGGGACATTTCATTACAGTCGGTGAACCTGCACTGACATATCATCACCCAAAATTCATGATTTACATTAGTGCTGTATGTTCTGCGGGTTTTGACAAATATATAATGATACTTATCCACTGTTTTTAGTATCATACGGAATAGTTTTCACTGCCCTAAAAATCCCATGCTCTGCCTGTTTATCCCCCAACTCCCAAAACCTAATAAGTACTGATCTTTTTATTATCTTTGTAGTTTTACCTTTTCCAGAATGTCATATAGTTGGAATCTATATAGCATTTTCAGATGGGGTTCTTTCATTTAGTAATATGCATTTAAGGCTCTTTCATGTCTTTTCATGGCCTGGTAGCTCATTTCTTCTTAGTGCTGAATAATACTCCATTCTCCGGATGAACCAGTTTTTATCATTAATCTACTGAAGGACATTTTGGTTGCTTCTAAGTTTTGGCAATCATGAATTAAACTTGTGTAAACATCTGTGTAGGTTTTGTGTGGATATCAAGTTTCAGCTCATTTGGGTAAATACCAGAGAGTATAGTTGCTGGATCATGTGGTAAAATTATGTTTAGGTTTTGTAAGAAATCACCAAACTGTTTCTCAAAATGTCTATATCAGTTTACATTTCCACAAGTGATGAATGAGAGTTCCTGTTGTTCCACATCCTCACCAGCATTTGCTATTGTTCGTGTTTTGAATTTTGGTCATTCTGATAAGTATATAGTGGTATTTTATTTTAATTTTCATTTATCTGATGACATATGATGTGGAGTATCATTTCATATCATTATTTTTCATCTGTATATCTTCTTTGTTGTGTCTTGTCAGGTTTTCAGCCCATATTTTAATCTAGTTATTTTCTTATTATTGAGATTTAAAAATTCTCTGTATATTTGGATAACAGTCCTTTTTCAGGTATACCTTTTGCAAATAGTTTCTCCCAGTCTGTGGCTTGTCTTCTCATTCTTGAATGAGAAAGTATTGCTTGGACGAGACACACGTATAGAGAGCCCTTAATCAGTGCCAATTTTGTATGCTTATTAATTAGTGCCTGGTAGTTTAAAAAAAAAGTATTGAACACATTTAGTAATTATTCCTAGGGGTATGGCAAGTGTTGTGAACAAGCCTTGTAAAACTCACTTAATGGACAGTGTGTAAGTGGCTGTGGTGTGGTAATCACAAATACATACTTTTAGGATAAATGGGCAAAAAAAATCACCATCCACTCTTGTATAAATGTATAAATGAGTACTTGGAATTAGTATATAACTTCCAGACTGCATTTCACATGGGATCCAAAAATGCTATTTCTCAGACCATGGTGCGAGGAAAGCTGATACTCTGGAGAACTGTGTTGCATGCCTGTAAAGGTGGTTTTGGTGACACCAGTGATAAAGATACTCATGAAAAAATGGTTTGATGACACCTTAAAGATAATAGTGATTATGTTTAGAGTGGTTTTGTTTGTGTCCAGATTCTTTTTATCATTACCTCTTCTTTGATGCCACCTCTTTGCAGTTGCCTGAATTTGACGTGACGTAACTGGTGCATTATAGGAATTTATTTCTTTTTATTATATAATGGGACATTATGCTTAGTGACTTCTTGTATGTGGTATGTTATTGGCTTGATAGTAGACCAGCTGACATTAGGAACATTGATTGGGGAGGCACAGCATTTAAAGCCCGCTTTAAACTTCCTTTTTAAAGTCTCATGTTGAAATGTTGTTTTTCTTCATTAAGATACCCTTTGGTGAACTCTAAATCATTGAATCAAACATTAAATTTGTACTTTTGTTGTTAAACAGGATATTGTACCTGTGGATGCTTCTTATGAAGTAAAAGAATTATATGTGCCAGAAAATAAACTTCATTTGGCAAAAACAGATGCGGAAACATTACCTGCATTGAAAATTAGTAAAGTAAGTGCTTTGTTGTTTTTCAAACCAAGTCATTTAGCCTTATGTACAGTCATTAGTCTGTAATATTTATGATTCTGTTTTTGAGCATATGTGTGGTGGTGATCAGGAGGGTATTTGGTTTTTATCATAATTTCCAGAGATATGGGACTTGTATTTAATTTGTGAAAACATATTCCCAAATTACCATGGCTTTGATGTGCTTTTAGTCATAATATCTATTTATTTTGAAATAGCAAAGAACAAAGATGGTTTAAGATTTGTAGGCTTATCAGAAAAAATGGGTTCTAAAAGATTAAAAAAATACTAAATATAATAATTGAACAATTTTTCTTTCAAGTGTTTCCTAGTCCCCTACTAAAACCCTGAATCTTTCCTACACTGATAAGAATAACTTGGTTCTATATCTTAGCTCTAATGATAATCATTAGGTGTTTTTCCCAACAAGAAACTGTTGAGTTAAATTAGATATGGTGACAGTAGAAACTATAATTTATTGTTTTCAAATCTTAGAGAATGTAACATTTTATCATATAGGTACACTTAAAAAATGAAGAGATTAAGAACCTTGACCAGGTGTTGAATTTCCCAGCCTTTCTTTTGGTGTAGTAAAAATCCAGGACACCCAAGGAAGTTCCAAATCTGAAACTAAGGAGAAAGAGGAGGACAAAAAAACAACCAAGAAACTTCTGGACTTGGAGAAAGACACTTAGAGTAGTTACTCAAATCCATACTACTCACATCCCTAGGAATACATTAGTATTTGGCATGCTTTGTGTGAGCAGAAACCAAGACATGCTGCAGGGAGCAATGAGGGGGAGTCGGAGAGCAGAGCCACGGAGGAAGCTGTTGCAAAGGAATGACAGGTTTTGTCACTGACATACTTTGCATAGAATGAATACACACCCACCCACACACACACACACACAGAAAAAGAATGAGAATGAATGAATATGAATCCAGGTCAGTCAGACTATATGACCCAGAAAGACAGTAGCTTCTTTAATACAGTTGTTTGTTCTTGTACAGCCATATGAAAAGTAATTAAGAAATTAATCTTAAATCAGATATTAGCTTGGGCTGCTATAAAAATAGACTGGATGGATGGCTTAAACAACAAAAATTAATTTTCTCACAGTTCTGAAGGTAGGAGAGTCCGACTTGAGGTGCTGACCTGTTTGGTTCCTGGTGAGACTCTTCCTGACTTGCCAACATTTGCTCTCTTCCTCTGTCATCATGGGATGGAGAGTGAGATCTGGCATCTTTTCCTCTTCTTGTAAGGACACTGGGCCTATTGGATTAAGGCCTCACCCTTACAACCTTATTTATTTTAACCTCCTCACAGGTCCCCTCTCCAAACAGAGTCACATTGTGGGTGAGGGCTTCAACATACGCATTTGAGGGGACACAGACATTCAGCCTGTAACAGATATTTAGAATTGGATTCCAATAGAAATAGTGTTCACTGTTAGAGGTGGAGGAAAAGTTAATGAGTAAAACTTAAAGTATGTAAAACAGTGTTGAATATGATGGGAATATAATGTTTCCTATGAATTGAAGGAGGGGAATACCAGTTATTTGATTTTGCAGTGGAATATATTGGCCAACATATTTTGGGAAAAAATAGTAGTAAATAATAAAGAGTAAGCTGCATTTTTACTATGTAGTGTGTGGCCTTGTACTTCAACTTTTCACACTATGTTTATCCCAACATATATGTATATATATGTTATACTAATGATACAAGTCCATCAATTCTTTAATGTTCTGATGGGATGTGCTAGAAATCTTAAAGAAGAAATAACAAATCCTTGTGAAATGAAGGGTACTTTGTTATAATAGAGGGACTTTTTGGTAAATGTTTTTATATGAGGTTTGTTTTAGTTTAGGACAGTAGTTATCAGAGAGTAGTTTCCTGACTTATTATTGTTAGCGTTTTCTGGGAACCTGTTAAATATACAAATTCTTGGACCCCACAGCAAACTGATTGAATTAGTCTTACCTAGAATTACCCTAAGGGGGTAGAGCAGTCTTCATTTTAACAAGCTTTCCCAAGGTTTCTTAAAACATACTCAAGTTTGAGAACTGGTAGTTAAGGAGATGCTATCCTTACTCAAAATGCTTAGAAGCCTAATGTCACTTAAATTTATGAAGAAGAAATGCATATTTTCCTAGTGCCCTTAATCTTTATTAGATCTGTATAATCTAGAATAATTCTTGAGATGTTTGTTTCCACTGCTTTCAAAATTAAATTTCTAGAGATTCATTACTGCTTTTGTTCAAAAGTACATGAAACAGAAAACTTTCCTGCACTGTCTCGTTTACTAGGTGGACCTGCAGTGGGTGCAGGTTTTGGCAGAAGGTTGGGCAACGCCACTGAACGGCTTTATGAGGGAGAGGGAGTACTTGCAGTGCCTTCATTTTGCCTGTCTGCTGGATGGTAAGACATTTTACATTCACTAGTGTAGTGAGTGTGGGAGAGAAATCACAGGTTCAGGGCTTTGGCACTATTTATAAAAAGCAGTGGTAGCATCTTTATTAGAGGTAGCATTTAGACTAAGTTATATCAGTACTGAACATTTCAAGTGAACTGTGAGGTCTGTTTTCCATTTTTTGTGTTCCAAATTGTGATTTATTGCAGGGGAGAAGGAAAACCTGGGGACTAGGGCTGAAAATGGATGGAAGAATCAAATTCAGTTTTCATATGCCATACCCAGCTGATGACCATGGAAAGCCTCTCTGAAAAGTTCACATATATATTGAATTTTACTATAACGAAGCCCAGGCTCGAGTGTTGTAATGAGGAATCAGGGAGTCCAAGTCAAGGAGTCCTGAAATAAATGGTTAAAAGGATGGTTCTTTCTATTCTTTCAAAACACTAAAATAAAAAAAACAAATTGGCAAAGAAATAGATGCATGGTGTAATTGTAATTCAACTACCTTAAACTTTGTACACTGTTGGTGAGATTAACTTATAACATTGAAGACAACATTTTAAATGTCACAGAGCCCTACCAAATTGCTACCTCACTCTTTCATGGTATGACTCCTTTTAATTGAGGAGTAAAATAAGTATAGAAAAGGTAACTCCCAATCACTCTTCTCAAGAAACTGAATCACAAGAACAAAAGGGTTAAATATTACTTTTTGATTTTCTTTCTTGGAACTAATGGGAAAGCCTTTGTGGACTGCCTCCTTAGGAGTGATTTGGTCTTGGGTTTGGTACAAATCCACCTATTAATTTTCCCTTTTAAGCTCTGCCTACTGGTGGTAATTGTAAAGCAGGCAAGCAGTTATCATTGATTTTATTGACATCTTTTGCCCAAAGGATGGCTTGCCATGATTTCCAAAAAATATGGTTTCTATTTGGTATGTAAATAAGATTCACATGAATTTGAGAGTACATTTAATTTTTCTCACTTATGCACAATGAGTAGGAAAAAAAATGTAGAGCTTGAAAGTTTGGAAACTGAGAATGTGCTGTTGGTCTCACTGAGAACACAGTTTGGTTTAAGTAGAGCCACGATAAGAGCCTTTGGTTCTTGGCTAGTGATAGCTGACTTTGGTTCAATTCTGATTAAAAGTCAAGACAAAAAAAAAATTGGGGGGTGTTTTTGTCTTCTTGTCTCAAGGATACACAAATACCCTAAGTATACTTAACTTGCTACTAAAAACATAGTTGTTAGAAAGGATTTACATTTTTTCCTGAAAAGGCCATAAAATATAGTTGTCTTATTTATATATTGGAGGTGCTGAGTATGTTTTTGGTGATGTGAGGCTGAACCAGCTCATTCTTCCATGTTAAGTAGTTTCCTTTTACTTCTGTGATTTTCCCCAAAATTTTTCCCCAAAGACAGTTTCATGAATTTTTGTGAGAAGTCTTGCTGCACACAGTGTTGATGTTTTAAATTTTTGCTGTTTTTTTAATCTCTGGGGTTGCTGCTTATTCTCTTCCCTGACTTTCTGTGCCAGGTACCAATTGAACACCAATTGAACGAACCATAAAGCTTTCGTTATTTGAAGAGTGTCCACTGAAGAGCAAGGTGGATCTAAGACCTGTTGAGTAATCCAAGCTGTGTGCTTTATGTTCTTCTGTGCCCTGCAGGGGGTGTCATTAACTTGTCAGTGCCTATAGTTCTGACAGCTACTCATGAAGATAAAGAGAGGCTGGATGGCTGTACAGCATTTGCCTTGATGTATGAGGGCCGCCGTGTGGCTATTCTTCGCAATCCGGAGTTTTTTGAGCACCGGAAGGAGGAACGCTGCGCCAGACAGTGGGGAACAGCATGCACGAGCCACCCCTACATCAAGGTCTTGAACAAACCTTGCTGCATTTTGTCTTGATTTGCCAATAATTTTTGTGCTGAAATGTGGGCATTACCTTGTGTTAGTAATTAACCTATTCCATTAGAATTAGTAATAATTTGCAGAATTGAGATTGGATTAGTATGATGAACATATGGTCTTGTCATTTTGGTCCAGATAAATTTTGTTCAACAGATATTTTTTAAGCATCTACTGTACACCAGGCACAGAGCAAGGTGCTAGTGCTGGGGACGAGGGCTGTATATGTGGCAGGCACAGTCTTCATACAGTGGGAGCACCCTGTCTGGTGGTAGAGTAGACCCTAAGCATGTACTCAGATAGGATGTGAGGGCAGGATGTTGGGGAAGCCCATAGTGGCATGATTTTATCCAGGATTTTAATTGAACATTGTGTCTCTGGTATGAAAACAGTGAAATATAATTAGTCTCCCTAAAGGCCCTTATGTATTTTATGTGTATTATTATCATCGAAGTCAAGTTTCTATCATTTGTTGTTTTAAAATATGCTTTACTTTTTAAAAGAAGCTAACTTAGGTGAAATTTTAGTTGCTTTATTATGTAGAAAATTTCTATAACATCTGTTTAGATCTTGGCAACTTGCTAAATGTCATTGTCTTATGGAGGAGAAAAAAGTAATACACTTTTAAAAATAGGGAAATACATTGTTTTAGAAAATAAGGAGGTTGAACTAGTGATGTCAGGCATTCCTTCAGCATTAAAATTTTACAGGTATTTATAACAAGTAGCTTAGTTTACAGAACATGCTTATGTAAATTCTTTGAACCACATAGCAAATCTGTAGAATAAGTAGAATTTCCATCTTCCACAGGGAGAAATTGAGACTTACAGGAGATAAATGTCTTGGCCAAAGTTATGCAGTCAGTAGGTGGGATGAGGGTCTGATGTGAATCCAGCATTTGAGGCTTCAGAGCCATCTTCCACAATCCCCAGCATAGAGGGAGTATTGGTATACAGGCAGCTCTTCATATACTATGTAACCCGTAACATTAGAGAATATTTTTTATATGACTTCAGTGGAGAAGATATTTATCTTTAAATCACTCTACAAATGTGCGTGCTGTTTAGACTTCTGTTGAGAGTAATTTACAAGACTTCTTAGAGTAGTTGGTTCTTGGTATTGCAGCCTTGAGGACCCAGTAGGATTTGGATAGTAGGGAGCTGTGGGAAACGCACTCTAGGTGTCTGGAACAGGAGAAGCAGTGACTAGGTATGTGTGAGAAAGAGCTGGTTGTTGAGTGGGAGAGGACCTTGGGAAGATAGGGCTTAGCATTCTACCCTAGATGTTAAGATTTTGTTCCATCATAATAACAGCGTACATGTATTTATGCTTTTTCAAACTGCATTTCTGATTTTCAGTCCTTGTAGTGACCCTGAGAGGTAGACAGGGCTGTCTCCTTGATTCTGAGGAGCCTTAGAGTGGGCCAGCTGGCCCAGACATGCAGAGGTATCAGTCAGAAGTCAGGATTCGAGTCTGTCTTAGGTCTTCTGTGCTCTTCCCACTATGCTGCTCTGCCTTTGAATGGAAAGGTCAGAGGCAGGTTTAGAGCCAGAGAGGGTCACAAACAAAGTGGTGCCTCTGGACGGGTAGTCTTGTGTGGGGTGTCCGCATTTCACTCCTAGGGCGTCCTAGCTCTCTAGGTCCCTGGACTAGATTTGCAGTCATGTGGTGAGAATCCCACTTCCTCTCATACCCTCTGCAGTCCATTCTCAGAGCAGCCAGAATGAGTCTCCTGAAAATATCAATCTGGGCATATCACTCTATCATTTAAAACTCTCCAGTGGCTGCTTATCATTAGAATAAAACCTAAGCGCCTTCAATAGCCTGTGTGTTCAGCCGGGACTGCCTTCCTCCTGATCTCTCTTACTCTGTCTCTGCTCCTCTCCATGCTTTGACCTTTTTTGACCTTCTAGCCACATGAGCCTTTCTGTTCCTCAAAACAAAGAACCTGTTTCTGCCCCGAGAATTTGTACTTGCTGTCCCTCTGCCTGAAATACTTTACCTCCATGATTGGTTCCTTTTCATCATCTCAGTTTAAGTGTCACCCTCTTCAGAGAGGCCTTGCCGGGCTCTGTTCTCTTAAATTTCATTCACTGTATTCCCTGAGCACTTGGTTCCATTGTCCTCTTGATTTTCTCTTAACATTTATTACCAGCTGTTGTTTCTCTTATTTCTCCTTTTTCCTAGTAGAGGATAAGCTCCATTAGAGTAAAATCTTTTTCTCTTTTGTTTTCCTCTGTATTCCCCAATGCCTAGCACAGGCCCTAGCACTTACCAGTTACTCAGTAAATATTTACTGAATGACTGGTTTGATGATAGGGAGAGAACTAGTGAGGAAGACAAGGTAGGAAGTGACCACAGTAGTTTAGGTGCATTATTAACATATAAACTGAAGCAGTGGAGGGAAAAGCATGAGCTTGAGCTGTATTTTGAAAATGGACAGTCCCAGAGGGTAAAGCTCTTTCTCTCAGAGGCAGGGAAACAGCATCAATGAATATGTAAGAAAAATTTGAGGTGTTATAGAGATGGAAGGCGTGCATTTGTGTCCAGCTCCATCATTATTGCTTTCGATGCTCAAAATTTTAGTATTGGAGAACACAGAGGGTAGGATAACCCAGGGTTACAAATTTTTCTATTAGTCAACACACAACAACAATGAAAAGAATGCTTTGTTGCCTAAGAAGTCATAATTATTCATTTTGGTTTTGTTTGCCTTTCATATGTAAGTATAATAGTTGTGTCACAAGTCCTTTGAGAAGTTATAAATGTATTCTAATTCCATAGCATCTCTAATCCCAACTCAGTTGATAAGCCAAATGGATTTACCATTGACCTCAAGATGAGTGGTTTACAGCTAGATTTAGTTTATATGAGAGAAATGTTCTTTGTTATTTTGATTTTGGTTTCTGTTTAAAAAGATTTTTTTCATTTTCTTCCCATTAGATGGTTATGGAACAAGGAGATTGGCTGGTTGGAGGAGATCTTCAAGTCTTGGACCGAATTTATTGGAATGATGGTCTTGATCATTATCGTTTTACTCCTGCTGAGCTAAAGCAGAAGTTTAAGGATATGAATGCTGGTAAGACATGGACCTACTTACCTACCATGGGACTACTTGGAGTTTCTGCTTGATGGGAAAGTTCTAGATGATGTTTTCCAGTGCTCACTAAAATGTGAAACAGAATGAGTAAAGGCAAATGTAGCAGTGGAATATATAACAAAAGGTAGTTGATCTAGAGTAACCTATATAGTTTTGTTATGTCAATATAATTTGTTCTAACATTATTTTGTATACTTTGTGGAAGAGGTTGCTAATAAAATGACCTTTTACTTGTTTATTATAAAACTCATGTTAAAGCTGAATAGGATTATGGAAAATAATTATTTGAATAATTTACTCATGTCAATAAGCTTTGTATCTCAGTGTCTTATATGAGTGGCATGTGTCACTGCAAAAAAATAGTAGAACAGTATTGTATTTGCTACTCATTCAACAAACGTTTGTTGTGCATGTTTATATGCCAGATGCCAAGAGCTGAGGATCCATAAATAAGTAAGACAGGAGCTTATCGTGTGGAAAAGAAGGATATTAAATAACAGAAGGTGTTGAGGAGTAAATTAAGGATTTCAGATCTCTGGATTAGGAAGAAATGCAGCAGTAAGAATGGAGAGTCTATAGATTTGGTTCTTTATAACACTGTCTTACAAAGTACTGTAGAATAGGGATTTTTATAGCAGTCACTTGTGATTAGCAGGTCTTTTATACAGAGGTAGATACGATGTGTTTACACTGGTGCATCCACACTCACAAATTCAAGGTTCCATGTCAGGGGCCAGCAATAAGTGTAGTTTTGGGGAGACTTTTTTAAGATTGGAAGAATTTAAAGCAACCTACAGTCGTGCTACTAATTAATTCTCACCCACTACAGAATTGGTAAAGCAGCCTTGGTGCTGCCTTCTTTACATTTTCTGTATAGAAATTGAGCAGATATGGCTGAGAAAGTCAGGTAAATGTGGCTGCTTCTTAAATAACTAGCTGGCCACCCAGTCATATTTTTTAACGAGAAGCCCCACTTCCCAAGTGACTACAGAATCTGGGCAAGGGCACCTGTTTCGTCAGTTGTGTTTATTAGCCTCTGTGAAGCCCAGATCCTGGTAATCATTCAGAGTCCATGTGCACACCATCCCCAGCTTCACCACCACCAAGTTATGTGGTTGTGGGGCAATCGCTTCCCTTTCTAAGGCTCAGTTCCCTCATCTGTAAAAATGAGGACAATGATGGTACCCAATGTGTACATTTTATTTCAAAGAGTGAAATGAAATGAAATGCTTAAGGCACTGTAAACAGTGCCTGGCACATAGTAAGAGAGTAGGTTGTCATTTATTCTGTTACGTGAGTCTGAAGCTAGTCCTCCTGTATTTATGTAAAGGTCAGAGAAAGAATATCTGTTTATTCTTAAGCTGTACCATAGTTTGCTGGTATTTGAAATGAGGAGAGTTTGAAATGGATCAGAACTGGAGGCATCAGACGGACCACACACTCTGTCTAATTTATTCACAATTCCTGCTTGGGCCATTTGAGTGTAGGATCCTACTTTCCCTTCGGAACTGTACTCCTCTTTGAAGTTGAAGCACGTATTTGGCTTTAACTTCCTGTGCAGGAATTTCTCTGAATGCAGCACTTGGTGCTTGCCTATGCATCAGTTTATTTTCTTCTTCTTTCTTGTTCACATATTTTGGGCCCAGGCACAGGGAACGTATGATTTCTGTAAGTCAGTGATGGTGCCTCATTCTCATCAGTGTGTGATTTAAGGGTCTGTGCTTAAATCAGTTCTGGCCATTGAGATGTCAGAGATGGTATTCTGGGAAAACTTTTCCTTCCTGACAAGAAACTGGTTTAGAACAAAAAGGTATCTTTTTTCCATCTCTCCTTTTCTTCATTTTTGGATGCTGTCATGTAAGGGTACAATGTGTGGAGCTGTGGTAGCCATTTGGTATCCAGGAGAAACCATGAAAAGCTTACACTGTTTGAATTTCTGATCCAACCCTAGAGTCCTCTGTATCCAGACCTCTTATTTAAAGACTTAATGCATGTTTGAATTAGTTAAGACATTTCTGGTTGGGCTGTCCTTTATTTGTAACCAGAAGCATCTGATAGTTTAATAGATGAACACTTCTCTTTTTTTCTTGTCAACAGGAATGCATTAAATGGGGGATTGCTCAGACCACCTCATTTATTTTAATTTTTTGCCAAAATTCGAATTCATAACTGGAATTCATGTTAGTAAAGTAATTGTTGGCACTGTTGAGGGGTCTTATCAAGGAATTATCATTCATAATTGGGGACTTTAATATTACATCTGTTTCACATTCTCCTTTGCAAGCCAAACATTTTAAGTCATTTAGAGAATTTGTTGCATGAGTGATTGAGACTCTGTTTAAAGTAGCTGAGAGCCAATTATTAGCTCCACATCAGACAACAGAGATCATGAGTAGGATTTTGTTTACTTTTCCATTTTAGACTGAGGCACATAAGCAACAGACTGGGGAATTTCCTTTGTAGTTGTTGTTCACTCTCTCTGGAAGCCAATAACAAGTCATCTACTGATGTGTACAAGACCTAGTTCAAGGAGAAAAAACAGAGAACATATATATTTTTTTCTTCTACCTGGGGTTTCTTTTCTTACTGCTCCTTCCTTCTTGTTCCCTCATCTTAGAACTTTGATTACTCTGTGGGTTATTGACCTGTGCATATTAATATGATCAGTTTTCTGTTTCTAGACCATTCTGTAGCTAGGATTGAGAGGTCTTGAATATAATACCCACACCAGTGATTGCCAGGTGACACAGTCCCAAATGGCAGGTTCTTTGAATTACTGACGGTTGACTGCTATCCTGGAAAGGAAGAATGAATTTCACTTGAACAAAGTAAGAGCTAGTTAGTATCTATTATGCATATACTATTGGTGTCCTGCTAGATGACAAAGGAAAAGGTTGACATTAACATCTTTTAAGCTGGTATGTGGTATCACAGTATCATGTAAGGCTGAGGAAGCTTTGTAGAGTTTTTGAACTACAAACTATATTGAATGAATCGGTAGACATTAGGTATTTTAGGTGGAGTTTGAAACGATATGTGAGAAAGCTGAGGCAGAAGTAGACAGCTCGTCTCTGAAGACTCCAGGCTTGCTTGACCAGCAGTGCAGTGAACTAGAGAGAATTGTGATCTGAAGATGGGCGAGGGGAGCCTCAGTCAGGGCACGGCACACTCAGATGAGGCTCTGAACATGAAGTATTTGAAGAAGGGTGGTCAGGGTTAAGGGAACCCACAAGGAATGTGGAGGCATCCAAGGACTCGCCTCTTTGGGTAGTGTTACCGCTCCTGAGGCCAGTACGAGGAGGTGGAGCAGTGAGGGGGGCCTCTGGCAGCAGCAGGTTGTAGGGGGATGTAGGTGCAGCCAGAATCACAGCACTGAGGCAGGATGTTCCTGGGGCAAGAGTTCCCCTAGCTTTTTCTCCCTCCATCCTGGTGCCTGCTGATGTCCCCCAATCGTGGTGGCAAGTTCCCTTAATGACCCCACCCCAAACAGAAACACACAGGCATAAAACAGAATAGATGGTAAATGGAATGGAGAATAAGCACAAAGCCTGGTTGGTAGAAAGCTTTATAGTCAACATTATTTTTCACTTCAGTTTGAAAGCATTTCTAGGCTTGAGAATTGAAGACAGTTTATTGTGGCTATACTTTGGGGTATGAGAAGTTCTGATTGATATGTACCTATTTACTCAAGAAGCTTATCCCTTTCTTACTGATTCTTACCCCTACTTCCCACAAGCAGTTTAAGTAAAAGAAACACTAGTGATTTATGACGGTCTAGAGAGAGGAGGGGAGATCAAACCCTTTCTTACTTCAAACTCTCTTCAGAACAACTCCCATAAAAACAAACATTGTACACACACACACACACACACACACACACACCCTCTCTCTCTCTCCCTCCCTCCCTCCCTAACAACCCTAGAACTGTTCTCAGTACTCTGTTGTTCAGCTACTATATTGATTAAGGACAAATCAGAAATGCCTTTTCTTATGGCTTTGGGGTACATTAAAGTAGCAGTAATAAAGCTGGGGTAGGATGGGAAGAGGAGACTTACTAATTACTGCTGTATGTAGGACAGTTTTGCAGAGAAGTTGAAAGGGAGGAAGTGGGAAGATGTTGTAATTCTGTTCAGTGGTTGGGATGCATACCAGGGCTCTGACTGTGGGCTAGGGAGCTGAGCACAGTTCTGAGAAATCTGGGGGAAGGATGACTAGGTGTCAGGAGCTCATCGCCTCATTCGTTTGCACAAAACAGCCCTGCTGGCAGAACTGAAAGTGTCCATGGGCACTCGGCTGAGACACTACAGAGCAGGGGTCAAACCCAGGTTCTTTGCAGTGTGGCACAACAGTGTTTGCTGGCTGTGGTACTAGATCAGGCAGTCCATGTCCTCCACGTATCCAGGGCCTATCCTCCACCCACTGGTGGGGAAAGCTAGTGGTTGTTCTTCCTTTTCTCTGTCACAGAGCAGCACATGCTCAGAAGAACCTTCTCCACTTTCTTCTTCCTCTTCTACCTGCTAGAAGGAAAGGGATCAGACTGTACTTGTTTCCATAGTGTGTTGGCTCCTGGACTAGACAGAGAGAGCCTGTCATACTGGGCTGTTCCTTTAATTAGATGTGAAATATAGAAGAAGAGTAGGTTTTGAGGGCTAGCTCTGCTTTTGGCCTGAGATATTAGTGCAGGTGGAAGAATTGTAAGGGTGGGAAGACAGTAATGAGCAATATATTGAAATTTTTTCAGTAATAAGCCTCTATAGTGGGTGAATTAGAAGGTCAGGACTTAGAGATGCAGCTAACAGGAGCCATCTGTATGTACATAGTAATTGAATCCAGGTGAAGGGGTAAATTTCCTGAATGAGTACGTAAGAAAGAATTTCATAGGACCCAGCAATGAACCCTGTTGCTCCAAGAGGACTACAAGATGTCAGAAACAGGTGATTAGACCAAAATGGCCAAGCAGTATGAAATGTCATACATAT